CGTCTCGCGCACAACCGCCCGGCTGGTCTCCGCCTCGAAACGGCTCTTCCAGTCGGTCTCACTCTGTCGACTGCCTGACAGTTCGCTGGTCAGCCTATCAACAGTGACCTTGAGTTCGCTGATCTCTTTATCACGTTTGGAGATGATCTGTTAAGAAAAGGCAAAGCGTGAAAGAGGGAAAAATGTACACAATGTTGGAGAGCAGATTCACGGGAAATGCAGAAAAATTGTCGGCAATTGAGCGGAAGTTTGAGGGTTACTGATGGAACAGGAGTATCTGCGAAATGGTAGGCTGCCTGTTCAGCATAGGCCTACTTATAGGGGACTCGAATCATAAGTACCATGCAACAGGACAGACGAATATCTGGGTAACCGAATTAACCAGCGTCTGCTCGTTTTTCGTCTGAAATGATGTAAACTACCTCTTTTAAAATGTTCTGCTGTATCAATGCAGTTTATAGTTACTGTGTACTAATAGGAAGTTTAAAGGTGTTTGTCTAGATTTCACCTAATAAACCTGATCTGTCTGCCGTCTGTACGAATTCCTGGCTAAGGCGGTCGGACAATAAAGATCCCCGGAACCAATTCACATTTCACTTTACATCACAGTGGCCTACACGATTCCTCCAGTAGAGATGGTGTGACGATTGCCCTCTCTTGTAAGAAGCGAACCGTGCACTACTTGCCTGGGAACCAATCAATGAACGGATGGCTTACGTGCGCTTGAAGGGTTAGTTCACAAAAATCTCTGTCGCCTCCGTCTACGCACCAACCTCGGCTGTCGAACAGCGCGATAAAGAGGTATTTTACTCGCAACTGCAAGCATTAGTTAAAAGCCTCCCTCGGTGCGATCTGCTGATTGTTACTGGGACCGGAATAGCCGGACTGTGGTGCCGAGAATAGTAATGCCCGTGGGTCTGACCACTTTCTCGGCCGTACACGCTGGAAAGTTCACCTCTCACCAGTGCCTGAATTACCACGGGCTGGACGTCTCAATGTCGCCAAAATTCGGCGACTCAGCATTTTCCGGGTCCCAAGCAGAGAAATTCAGTCCGATTTTACATCCCGAGTCGACGGAGAAGACAGAAGCCAATGGTCATCACTGAAAACATCGATCTATGGGGCAGCTGAGGAAATTCTTGGATACACCCAACGACGCCGCAGTAATTGGATCAGCGGAAAGACCCTAAAATTGTCTGCTCAGACAGCTCGAGCCAAGTAGCGTAGTGATGATTCTTTTCGCAAACTCAGAAAAATGACAGCCAAATCGGCTAGGGAGGACCGGAAGAAATACTGGACTGAAAT